CTTAATGGTTCTGTCTGCCACAGCGGGATTCCTGTCCCTCATTGGCTGGCCAAGCTGCCTGGCTGCACTTCAAGCCAAGCAGCTGACATCAGAGCCCCTGGAGTCTGCTGTGGTTGACAGCCCCCCCCCCCACCAGAGTTACCTTGTGCTATTTTTGTACTGACAGCTGATGGGACAGAGCCCCTCATTGTGTGCTTGTGTTTTTTTCTATTTTCTTTCGGGGATTGGGGGGGGGGCAACATATAAATCACCTGACATCCTGGGGGCCGTCGCGACTAGGTGAGCCGCTAGCGTCGAGTTCTGTGGTCGCCATAGCGACCAATCACATGACGATGCGGTGGGTGGAGGGTGACGTGTCTGTTCTGGTGAGACACCCTGCCGAGGGCCTTGTTTTTTATTAACCCCCCCATTGTCTTCCTTAGCCTGGAGAGGTGTATATTCCGCTTTTCCAGCGTGACGTTACGGGTTTGTTTACCTGCTTACCTCTGATGACATCGTCTCGGGGAGGTGTGTCTGTCCCGAGGATCCGATGTGCTGATAGTCCCATGTGGTGTTTGGATCGCGCCGCCTGACCGCTTACGGAAGGAGCCCCTGAGACGTTCAGTGAATGTCGTTATCGCAAACGGTATCACTGCAGTTAATCTTAAAAAAAAAAAAGTAATCTCAGGTTTGTCAAATCAGTCCCCAAATAGCCTTTTATAAAAAGCAGCATACTGCATGGGCATTTTCCGTCAAAGGCACTGTGGCATGGCAGGATCTCGCTGTATTTTTAGGTCGGGATCTTTCCAGTGTCAACTAGGATTGTCCATTTCCTTAACCTGACAGCATCCGTTAATTGCTTTTTTTTTTTTTTTTTTTAAATGCTTGACATGCTCAGTGGGTCTCTGGATCCCCCCCCCTCCTCAGTGATGCTTTGGTATTCCCCTGTACGCAGGCAGGGAAGCTACCCTGGCACGAACCACATGGGGATGATGGGGGCCAACTCGCCATACAGCCAGCTAGCAGGGAACAGCTCTGGCGTGATGACATCACAGGTGCCGCCCTACAGTGTTCCGCCCACAGGTAATGCTCAGAGTGACCAGAAGGAATTGTGGGTAATGTGTTAGTTTGAGGTTTATTCTACAATACTGTAGAATTCAGTATTACATTTTGTATTGTATTCTACAATACTGTAGAATGAGTATTTCTTCATGTTTTAGTTTTTAATACCTTGTATTTCTGTTATTCTCCTATAATCAATTAATTAGGTTACTTTAATATGAGAACCAGGACCCCCAGAGAAACTGTTCAATACAACCACCAGCCCTGAAAATACACCGCACCACCTAGACCTTGAAATCGTACTTATTTCCTACGCAAGACGGCAGTTTAATGGAAAAATGTTTCTTTGTCGGATGACTGCAAAGAGGATCGGCAACGCGAGCCCTTGAAGCCCCGAAACAGCCTTCTTTGTATTGTTTAACAAAAAAGAAAAACTGTACTGTCGAAATGAAAACAAATTTCACAAAGCAAATGAAGCTTCGGTGTGGAATGTTAAAAAAAAAAAAAAGTTCCGTCGGCACTGCGTGTCGTTGGGTGACTCGTCCCCACGTCTTTATCCAGCTTAGATTAAGGCCTTTGTAGCTAAATAAATCAATAAAATTCATAGGTCTGTCCAAACCTTTATCTCTCATTGCCAAGTATAAACTATCAGAAAGTGCTTTCCTGAAGGGTACCGATTTGTGCTAACGATATCGAATTGGACTTAACAGCGCCTTTCACAGGCTGGTAGTTGTCCCACTTAGCCGGCCCCGATTGAGTCCTTGCATTTGCTCGCCTGAGGGAAAGGCATTTTTTCCAGTCGAGGGTGGAGTGCTTTTCAAGGAAAACAACACAATTATTGTGTCTAGTACATGCAGCATAGCTTAGCGTAAAAACACGACTCGCTTATTTGTTGGCCCGACAGGTCTAGCTGAAAAGATTCAGCTTGCAGCAGCAGGTTAAGGTCCATAAGGGCTCGAATGTCCGCTCTGTGTTGACCGACGAGAGTGTTAAGTTAAACTGGGGTGATGCTCGAAAGTGTGATTGACACAGCATGTGCCCACACTCTCGCACACATTATATGGATATACTTTATATAGACATATTCCCGTTTCACAGCAATTAACAGTTTCTAACAGAAATGGATGAAAATTAAGTGTAGACTAATCTGTCCGCACCCCGTCACACATACGTACGTTCACACACTGCATGTAATGATGCGTGCCCCGGTCTGATCGCACATTAACATGGTGCATACACATGTAGGAACATGTAAGAGACACGAACAAAAGCACGTAAGGCTGTGGACGGCTGCGCACACATTGCGTGCCGATTACGGTGGGAGGGAGGGAGATGCCGCCCCCAGCTGTCCTGCTTAGGAAGCATCTTCTGTGACGTCCCTGCAGTCCTTGACATTTACAGTGCCGAGTGATGGGCTGACATCGGACAGGCAGTGGCTTCCCAGGTCCCACCAGTACAGGGCGCCCTTTCTCCATTTTCTTTTTCTTTTTCGCCTGTGGCTCCTTGAATGGCCTGCAGGGGGTGCTGGTGAGAACATGATGGCTGCTGACTCGAAGCAGAAAACTGACAACAAGGAGGAGAGTGTTCCAGCTACAGAGACTGCCAAAGCTAAGGTATGAGCATGATGCTGTTCTTTCTCTCTCTCACTCACACACACACGCACGTTTATCCTTTCTGGGTTAGCACTAAACCCTGTGCCGTTATGACTACTCAGAACAATGACCCATAGGGGTGTATATAAACCCATAGGGGCATAGTCTGACCAAGACTACATGTCCCAGCATGCTTCAGGATTGAGCATGCACGAGGACAGGCTTGTATTAGCATTTAACGGTGGCTGGGTGGGTGATGACGGCTGGTATTTAGAACAAGTTTACGAGCTGGTTGAAGAACTGCGGCATTTATTGAAGTCAGACGGTGGATGAATTACTGGCCGGCACTTTCAGAGGGCATAGGCTCGTCTGAAGTGATTCCTCTGGGCAGCCGTCCCCTCAGCGGTCTCTGCTGACAGTCCCAATGTTTCCAAATGCTTCATAAACAAAAAAGGGGGGCTATGATTTTCCCTTTAACCCCCCATTATCGACTGACCTTTATCTGTGAGCCCTAATTTTTCATGCGCGTTTCGGCCTCGTCTTCTCGCCTCGGCCCCCGTCTCGCTATTTCCCCGATCGCCACAGAACCTCCGAGGCTCACCCGGCGCCGAGCGGAGCACGTGCGTGTTTCCATTTAGTTTGTGCATGTGCGCTTTAATCCCTCGTCCTTCACGGCGCCACGTGTCACTCACAGTGAGACTTCGCCGCATCCCGTGACAGTGCTGACAGATCGGAATGCTTTGTGACGGGTCTCCAGGCTCGATGTCGTCCTAGTGCTTACTGTCCTCACCCCCTCCTGCCCCGGGGTGACATGTCGGCACTGGAAACCCCTCCCACAGCCCCCCCATTCCCCCTTCTGCTCTCCCACTGATAGCGAGCTTTTGCTGATAACACAGGTTCACGCGCTGAATTATTCAGAGCAGCTGGAGCCTCCTGAAAGACCGCGGCTTCCCTCCGGACGCTGCCGGCCCCCGGGAGTGTGCTGAGCCCCCGCTATTAGCCGGCCTGCTCTGCTGATGCTCGCACTGCGGTCTGGCTGCCCGGCCAGCAGGGGGCGATCTGGTCCCAGTTTGTCACATGAGGAGGAAGACACAAAAGACAAAATGGGGGGCTCTCGCTCACTGCCGTCGATGCTCACCCTGCCTTTCTTCCTTCGCCACCACAGGATGGATACAGCTCTCAGTGTATGTCTCAGCCCCCGACTCCCGGTGCCCTGCCCGTCCCCTCCCCGCTGTCCCCTAGCCCTGCTAGCCTGTCCTCCTACCACGGCGATGACAGCGACAGCATCAGCAGTCCTGTTTGGCCAAAGACGCCATCCAGCCCTGTAAGTGGTGCCTCATTCTCTCTTTCTTCGTCCTCTTTCATTTTGTCTGTGTGTGTCTGAGTAGAAACGTGGAGATATTGAGATTCGACCCCAACCCTCAGTGGAGGAGTCCTGGCAAATTTTTTTGGTCCCCCCCCAATCTCCCTTCTCATTCTCCTGTCCCTTCTGGCTCAGAAGTCCAACTCCTCGACCATGACCGGCGAGAAGATCGGCCGGCTGTATGAGATGGGTGGCGAGCCGGAGAGGAAACTCTGGGTGGAGCGGTACCTCTCCTTCATGGAGGAGCGTGGCACACCGGTGCCAAACCTGCCCGCCGTCGGCAAGAAGCCCCTGGACCTCTGCAAGCTCTACATGACGGTGAAGGAGATGGGTGGCCTGGCAATGGTGAGGCCCGGCAGGGGCCGACCGGCTCTGTCGACGCGCCGACCGGCTCTGTCGACGCGCTAAAGGGCATAGAAGGGGCGCGCTAAATTTAGCGGGATGCACAAAGGGGGGCAATCCAGAAAGGGGAGAGCTCCGGTGTCCTCTTGGTGCTGAAACCCCCTCCCCCCCCCGACAGGTGAACAAAAATAAGAAGTGGAGGGAGCTGGCGGGGGCGCTCAGCATGGGCACGTCCAGCAGCGCCGCCAGCTCGCTGAAGAAGCAGTATATCCAGTACCTGTTCGCCTTCGAGTGCAAGGTGGAGCGCGGCGAGGAGCCCCCGCCGGAGGTCTTCGCCATGGCCGACGGCAAGAAGCAAACCAAGATCCAGCCGCCGTCGCCCGGTGAGGAGGCCTTGGGCCGTCTCAGGGAACCTTCCGGAACATACGTGACGCGTCTCCCTTTGATTCGGGTTAATCTGTTGTGTAATTTTAGCAAGCCTCGCGTTTTGGGAGCCACAATCCCCCCCCCCACCAGAATCAGCAAGGGGGGGGGGGGGGGGGTATTTCAGCACTTAAGGGTTTTTTTTTTTTTTTTCCTGAAATCCAAGAATTCTCGATAGCAGAAGAAAACCCATTGAAGAGGGAAAAAAAAACCTTTCCTGGGTAGGAAGTGGCAATTATATCAGCATCGCAGCTGGGTGCCTGTCACCGGGCTGCGTGTCTCACGACCCCCCCACCCCCCGAAATGTATCACGCCTATCCGTCCATCCTGCAGGCGGTGCCTCCCCTGCTTGGGCAGAAAGGGGGGGGAGGCGGGGAGTGACGGGTGACTATAAATAGCTGACGTGATGTCACGGGGAGAGCCGTCGGGCAGCCAAGAGGGGGATTCCCCTCCGGATGATTAATGGGGGCGGAGCCAGCATATACACCGAGGTGACCTCTGGTGAACCCAACGTTTGCAGCCATGGTGGTGAGGCAGCAGCTTTTTTATTCATTTTTTTATTAGCTCGACTCACCCCCCCCCCCCCACACACACACCTTCTCCCTTCAAATATAAAACTGAGGGCACTTAAGTGCAAGGCACCCCTCCCTTCCTGCTCTGTCTGAGCACGCCTGCCCTTTGAATAATGTCCATCCACTCCACCTCAACAACCGCTTTGTTGTGTTTTTTTCTTTGCTGGAGGGGGGAGGCACGTTTCCAGTGTTTTGCTTTTTGCAGTGGTGATGCTACCACCTGTCATCTGCCTGCCAGAATAATCCCACAATTCCCGAAACAAACCCTTCCCCACAGCGCCCCCTGCAGGGAGCCTTGGTCCCGAAGGCCTTTTTCCATCCCCTCTGCCGAGGACCCAGTGTGCTGTCAATTATTCAGCGTCGATATGAATTTTTAAAGTCAGTCTCTGTCCCATCTCTGCCAGAGATTTTTCCTGACTAGCGTAGATCACCAGGATATTAACTCGTGTTTTTATGTGTTGAAGCCGGGGCTTTTGATTATGTACTTTTGACTGAGGCTTCGTAAAAGGGTTTGGCTTCTCTATTCTGGGCAGAGACCGTAGATCATCTTCTGTGTGTCGTGTGTTCAGTGGGCGAACTCCTCACTGACAGCACACAAGGAACAACACATTGAGTCAGAGCTGGGCACACGGCTCTTCCGCTCACCCACGCCCTCCAGTGGCCAAGTCACGTGTGCTTTATTGTCATACCATCCATATCCAGGTATGGAGTGGCACGAAATAGTGTCCCCCAGAACCTGGGTGCATCATACAAACAGCGAGTGACGGGGGAGCGGGGTTCTATCGGAGCGGGCTGGATACTAGGGGTTTGTGTACATAGTACCATGTGCATGTAAACAATAAGTAACACAGCAGCAGAGTAACCGATGGAATTAAAATAGTGACTGATAGTGAATAGGTAAAAAACTTGTGATGTTCTGGAGGGGATGTGAAGTGCAGTTTGTTGTCCAGTGTGTATTATTAAATCAAGGTTGATATCGACTCTTCAAACCAGGAATTAGAATTTGCTGCCATATTGGAAATTAGTGCTATTCAGCAGTCTGCCTGCAGGGCGCCTCTTTCAATGCTCCCTCTTCTCCTCTTCACTTGCTCCTTCTCTCCGCTCCTCCTCCTCCATCTCTCCAGCCAACTCTGGCTCCCTCCAGGGCCCCCAGACTCCACAGTCGACAGGGAGCAGTTCCATGGCCGAGATGCCGGGAGACCTGAAGCCCCCCACCCCGGCAGCCACACCCCACAGTCAGGTCACCCCGCTGCAGGGCAGCAGGTAGGTGGAGTACCAGCATCAGCACATATGGACCTGCCTCCCAATCAGATCCAGAGACAGAACCAGAGGACTGCCGTCATTTACAACCTGACAGCCCGTTATTTCAAAACAGATCCTTCCCCAAACCTGCTCTTGCAGAAATCTGCATTTGCGAGCGAACAAATATTAATATTGCTTGCCGCTCTTTTAATTGTCACGATTGCTTGGCACGTAAACATTACTGATAAATAACTTGTAGCCTGTTTGCGGCTTTGAGAACACAAATTAGAATGTTGGCAGAGCACTACGTAAATAAAGCAATTTAGGAAACGTAAGTGCCCACAGTTGATTAAACAACCTATTTTAAAACAACGTAATGAAGAATTCATTTAGACCGAGTTACATGACCTCGGTATTTTATTGTGACGACTGCTCGGGAGTGATTATTTATGCTTGTGTTCTGTTGCTGAATTTGTGCACGTCGGAGTGTCCTGCTGTATTTGTGAGCTGCTCATTCCGATACCAACGTGGAGCACAGAGGATATTACCCGGTATTCGTGTGAGTGGGTAGAGCGATATTCAGTGTTCAAAATCACAGATAAGCCTTTTAAGTCCTGCTAGACATATTATCGTTCATATTTATAAAGACCTTTATTCTTAAAATTAACTTTTAAAAATAAAGCATTCCATGATTTGCCCGTTAGCAGCCGTTGTGTGCGTACCTGTATATATATTTGAATTCGAATTATAAATATGGTAAGTGGATTTTCTTCTACAGTTGTGATAACTGACTAAAATGCAGTTTAGATTAGATATTGTTAGGATGCTTGCTGTGTTAATCACTGAAATTAATATGTGCTTTAATAATAGGCTTAGACGTAGCCCCCTGTCGTGATTTAGGTGCGGTTTAGCTCACAATTATATGAGTTACTGATCATTACTACAAAGCAAAAATAATATCATGCATCAAGACTGTTTTTATATTGTAACCATAATATCATAATATATTCTGTATAGTGGTCAGATATTGAAAGATTAGCGTCAAACAAACCTTTATTTTAGTTACGTAACCACTGCCAGTTGTACTACTAGTAATAATGTTTTATGAAACTGTTTTAATGTTTTTGGGAGAGTGATTGAGAATTAATAGTATTTATTTGGGAATCAATTGGAAGTCTTAACAAGAAAGGAAATGACTGTCAGCAAGGGACCGTGAGAGAGACGGTTAAGCCTTTGTGCGCTGTGTGCTTGTGGTCAGTGTGGTGATTTGCTCTGGCCGTCACGTCTGAATCGTCCCTGACTCTGCTGCACCCCCTCCTCTGCCCCACGTGTCACAGGAACAGCACTGTCAGCGTGCAGGACCCCTTCTCAGAGGTCAGCGACCCCGCCTTCCAGAAGCGCAACTCCTCGACCCCCGGCGCCCCCTACCCTCAGGGCGCCAACATGTCGGACGTCATGATGCGGATGCAGTTCGAGGCCAACAAGGACCCGTTCACGGGCATGAGGAAGGGTGAGCTGGCGGGGGGGTGCTCTGCGTGCGACTCACGATCGATCGGGGGGGCACCCAAGGGCAGATGCGACGCCCCCACTTCCTGCAGCGCTCCGACTATCAGCCGGGCTGATCGCTGGCAGTCTGCTGTATGACCTTCAGCCTTTATCCTCCCCTTTCTTTCCAAGAACACTGGATCACAGTGGGTCAGACAAACCTTAAGCATTATCTCACCCTACTCTTTCTGTTTGGAATTAGCTTTTGCTGGGAACGTTACAGCCTCAGTAGGAATGCCGGCTTTTATTACGCTTTGGCAGCTAAGTAAAGCTCTCTGCGGCAGCATCCTCAGTCTCCCCTGGTCCTTGCTGATTATCTGCGTGGAAGTGGCGCCCCCTAGTGAAGGCCAGCGTCCTTGCAGAGTTTTCTGAGCAAGGCCGTGCTGTATGTAAAATCATGTTTCACTTGTGTGAGAGTAGAGAAGCTCTGACACTGTTCTATAATGTTCTGCTTGCCCTCAGCTACAGGTGTAGGCCTGTATGTTCAATTATTTGTGTATTTGTTTTGCATGTATTAATAAGCGAATGGGGGAAGTTTATTAGCTAGTGGGAGTGGATAGGCCAGAAAATGTAACTGAGGGTGTGCATACAAGATGCACGCGCCTGATTGGCTGATGCGACCCTATATTTTTCAACAGTAGCGGGCGCCGAACCTTTCATGTCGGCACAGATGCCCGGTAGCGGCATGCAGGACATGTACAGCCGAGCGCCATCCAGTGCCATGGCCGGCCTTGGCATGGGCCAGCGTCCGCAGTACCCTTATGGGCCCGGATACGACCGGAGGTGAGCCAGGCCGCCGTGTGCGTGTGAGCTCTGTCATACCTCTCAGCCAGTAAAGGGAAAATCCAAGCTTGCTGGGTTGTCATGTGGTGTAACCCATGTCTGATTGGCGAGGGCCTTTTGGGTTTGGTCAGTCAATGTGATCCCAGCTTCCTTTAATCTTAATATCTTCAATCACTTTTATCAACATGAGGGAAATAGGGGAGCATTAAGTATTACTAACTTCATTTTTACGACTCAGTGATTTGATGATCATATCAATCTTATTGTTATATATCTGTGAATATATGTCTGTTACATTGGTAAAATACTATAATTAATGAGTGTGGAGCTTGCAGTTTGCACGTCTGTTATAATTGTCCCATACTTCATAAGCATAAGTAATGTGAGGAGTATATCTGACTGGGGTGAACATCCTGTAAAATAGATCGGACCATGTGATGGGCATGGAGGGTAACATGGGACCCCCCGGGAACCAAGGCAACATGGTACCTTCCAACAGTGACCCCAGCATGTATTCTCCGAACCGATACCCCTCTCAGCCGAGGTACGACATCCAGCGTCCCCCCACCCCCACCCAGCTATCTGGCATGCTTTAAACCTCTCTGTGAATTTTCTATAGAGGGTAATAGCGTAGCGTGTGTTCGAAGTTTGCGCTCACGCTGCCGTGTCCTGTCTATGCCAGGCACGAAGGCTACAGCCAGCAGTACAGCGGCATGCCCTACGGCGGACACCCCCCTGGAATGTTCCCCCAGCAGCAGGTGAGGTGACCGCGCGTGCCGGAGGGACATCCGTCTGAACGTGGGCCCAGGCTAGCTAGCTAGCGCTAACGCTTCCTCCCTCTGCAGGGCTACAAGCGGCCGATGGAGAGGATGTACAGCGGCCCACCAGCCAAGCGACACGAGAGTGAGGTGTACGGGGTACCCTATGGCGGCCAGCAGCCCGAAATCTACGGGCAGTACGGAGGCGGCTACTCGGGCCCCGAGCGGCGCCCTCCGCAGGGCCAGTTCCCATATTCATACGGCCGCGAGCGCATGGCTGGTCCAGGCCAGGGCCCCCCACAGCAGCCCCCACAGCACGGAATGTCCCCTCAGATGATGGGCGGGGGCGGCTCGGCCGAAGGACCCCAGCCCAACATGTGGCCCCCCCGGACAGACATGCCCTACCCGTACCCCAACCGGCCCAGCCAGGGGCCACCTTCCCAGGTACCCCCATACCCCGGCATGGGGCGGGGAGACGACATGGACAGTCGGTCCGGGCAGGATGGACCGTGGCCGGGTCACGGGGGCCAACGGCAGTCCTCTTTCATACCGCCCTCCACGGGGTCCATGCCCCCCATGAGCGGCAGGCCCCCACCATCCAGCCCGGCCATGCCCAACCACATCTCCCGGGCACCCAGCCCCGCTTCCTTCCAGCGCTCCCTGGAGGCCCATATGTCACCCAACAAGGCAGCCTACTTGTCCTCCTTGAAGATGCCCAAAGTGGGAATGCCCGTGCCTGGCCAGCAGGGCGGCCCTCCCCCAGGCCAGGGCCCTCCACACATCAGGCGGGAACTGCACTTCCCTTCAGGGTCCATAGAGGGCACCATGCCTGTTCTCAAGCCACGCCGAAAACTTACCTCAAAGGACACTGGTAAATCCTGCTCAAACATGACTGTCATCACAGTTTATAAAGTACTATTGAGTTTGGGTTGGGTTTTAGAATAAAGCCTAAATATGTTGCCATTTGTTTCTACGCAAAGTTGTTCTCATAGTGTTGTAGTAATTAAACAACAGTGAAGTACATTTCCTGAGGGGAACTACAACAGTTTGTCCTTGTAGTGACGGGCACATAGCCGCTGTGCTAGCCAGCTTCAGCATGCAGTGCTAGCCAGCTTCAGCATGCAGTGCAGGTTGCCATATCAGGAACCGTGTTTTGCTCCCCCCCCCCCAGGAACTCCAGAGGCATGGCGGGTCATGATGTCGCTCAAGTCAGGCCTGCTGGCAGAGAGCACCTGGGCGCTGGACACCATCAACGTGCTGCTCTATGACGACAGCACCGTGAGCTCCTTCATGCTCTCACAGGTACGGGGTGCATCGGGGGCGGGGGGGAGGCATGAGGGCACATGAACACAAGGGCTGGGGAGCATGCGTAATTTGTAAGCCTTTAATTGTTCACTCAAAAGGTTTTAGACAGTTGTCGATCGCAGAGAGACCGAGTTGGGTTAATGGATACAGCCAGCTATATGAAGAACAGGAGCATTCCCAAAAAAGGAACAGAAACTGAAAATGTGTGTAACCATATCTGATTGCAGCTGCCTGGCTTCCTGGAGCTCGTGGTGGAGTACTTCAGGAGGTGTCTCATCGAGATCTTCGGGATTCTTAGAGAGTATGAGGTTGGAGCCGCGGGCCAGAAGACACTCCTGGGACCCGGCGCCGACGAAAAGTCTGAAGAGCCTCCTGACTCTGAGGGCGAACCCGAGCCCAAGATGGAGGAAGGGGAAGGGCTGAGGGAGGAGCAACAGCCCAGCCAATCAGAAGAAGCCCTGGCTAATAAGGAGGAAGCCGCCCCAGAACTGGAGAAAGAGGCAATGGTGGATGGGGTGGCCAAGGATGCGGACGGCGAGCCACAACTGGAGGGCGAGTGGCCTTCAGAGCAACCCATCCTGGAGCTGGAGCCAGAGCCAGAGCCACGGCCCAAGCAGGCCAGCAAGTACGACAGGTTCCCGGTAAAGGTGCTGAAGAAGGAGGACGACTTTGTGGAGGACTGCTCTGACCATCTGGGCCAGGTGCAGGAGTTCACCAGCGGGCTGCTGCACTGGCAGACGGGTGGCGGGGACTCCACGGCGCACATCCAGATCCACTTTGAGAGCAAGAGCGAGGGGTCTGCCTGGGGGGCGGCGTGTGGAAGGGAGGCGGGGCCTGGGACACGAATGAGGGCAGCCAACGAGGAGGAGTGCGGAGAAGAGGCGGCAGAGAGGAGCATCACCGCCACCATCGATGATGTGCTCTGTGCCAGGCATGGCAGCTTCTCCGAGGGCGGCTCCTCCCTGGGGGCTCATGGTGGCTCATACCCCTTCCGCCTGGATGAGGCAGAGGGTCATCGTCGCATCACGGTCCTGGAGGACGAGCCACGCACCCTGGATGAGGCACCGCTGTCTACTGCCGCCACCTGGCAAGATTCACTGGCCCGACGCTGTATCTGCATCTCCAACATCGTGCGCAGCCTCTCGTTTGTGCCCGGCAACGACGCCGAGATGTCCAGGCACCCCGGCCTGGTGCTGATTCTGGGTGAGCTGGTGCTGCTGCACCACGAGCACCCTGAACGCAAGAGGCCGCCCCAGACCTACGAGCGGGAGGAGCTTGACCGTGGTCTGGCCTGCACCCGTGACGAATGGCGCTGGGACTGCCTGGCCTCACTGCGGGAGAACACCATGGTGACTCTGGCCAACATTGCCGGGCAGCTCGACCTGTCCCTCTATCCAGAGAGCATCTGCCTGCCTATCCTGGATGGCCTGCTACACTGGATGGTGTGCCCCTCGGCTCAGGCCCAGGACCCATTTCCCGCCGTGGGGCAGCACTCTGCCCTGACGCCACAACGCCTCGTCCTGGAGACCCTGTGCAAGCTGAGCATCCAGGACAACAACGTGGATCTCATGCTGGCCACGCCGCCCTTCAGCCGGCAGGAGAAGCTGTTTGCCACGCTGGTGCGCTATGTGGGTGAGCGCAAGCACCAGGTGTACCGGGAGATGGCGGTGGCCATCCTCTCTAACCTGGCGCAGGGGGACACGCTGGCGGCACGCGCCATCGCCGTGCAGAGGGGCAGTATCGGTAACCTGGTGGGCTTCCTGGAGGACGGCGTGGCCATGGCACAGTACCAGCAGAACCAGCACAGCCTACTGCACATGGGCCACCCACCCATGGAGCCACCCAGCACCAACATGATGTGCCGGGCCGGCAAGGCCCTGCTGGCCATGGCCAAGGTGGAGGAGAACCGGCCTGAGTTCGTGTTGTACGAGGGCCGGCTGCTGGACATCTCCATCTCCTCTGTGCTGAACTCTGGCGTGGCCGCCCTTATATGTGAAGTGCTCTTTCAGATTGGCCACTTATGACAAGAGACGCAGAAATCACATGTGATTGGTGGTTTTATATTTTTATTTAAATGAAATCAAATAAAGTTTGTTTTTTTATATATATAAATATATATATAGTTCCTCTGGCTCATTAACATTTTCATTTTGGAATTTAAAAAATAATTTTAATACAGATATTTAATACCTGCCGTTCCTGTGTTTTAAGTGTATTTCTTTGCTTCTTTTATATGTTATTTTTTTCTTTTGTTTAACCAAAGTTGCTGCCAGATTTTGGAGAGGGTATCTTTATTTTTCTTAATTTGAAATTAGTTTTCTGAATGTTCATACCTATATCTGTTTTGTTTTATTTTTGGGAAGCAGATTTATTTAAATTGTGAGAAATATTGTAGATAACTTATCTTGCCACGTGCCGAGGAGAACGGAGGACAATGAGAACAAAAGGAACCTTGATCTTACTTTTTTTTAAAAAGTAAATATATCCATCTCTGAGAAAATGAGTTGTGCAATAGGATTTAATGTAAGTCAGCTTGATAAGTAAGAGAAGCGTCTTTTAACATGCAATACGTGAATTAGACCACAAGAGGACAGTGTTGCATCAGCCTGTCTTGGAGAAAATTGTCCTCATATTTTTTGCTTCCGTCACCAGTGACAAAATCTGGCTTGCTTCCTTATTATTGTCACGGCTACATCTTGAGTACACTTCCACAAAGGAACAATTTTGTTTTTGTACTTCTGTTGCATTTTTTTTTTTTATTTTCTATTTTGCCGGTTGGCCAATATGTATATAATGTTGTACATTGGACACCCCCACATTTTTACCCCTTTAATTTTTTTCCCAGTTCTTCTTTTTCAGAGATGTGGTACCTACAAAGTGATGGTAGTTTTTAATCATTATTATAATTATTGTTAATGTTGTTATTTAATATTATAAATATTTTGTTATCTGGGTCATATCTTCAAGCAAGGTTCATGTAAAGGTTCCTATCTGTTTTAAAAATAATAATAAAAATTCTTGTATGCTTTGTTCTGTAGCAGACAGCTGTTCACACCACTTGCTTCGTTAACCAGATGTGATTACATTCAGATGGTTACTAGAAAAGGTTACAAAAGAACGAAGAACAGATTTTATGGGTTTTTTTTCTCCCCTCCAGTGATGCAAATGGTCATATTTGTACTCCAGAATAATGTAGTTAAAAAGAATGACAAAAACAGCAGACACCAACAAAGGATGTAAATGACACCTTTTTCCTCTGACTCAATATCATTTATTCAGTATAAATCTTTATACTATATGTTCCACATGTTAAGAATAAATGTACATTAAATCTTGTTAAGCACTTTGATGGCTGTTTTTTATTGCTTTATATCTCTGTTGCTGTTTGTGCCGGTGACTCGCAGAAATTCTGTAAATCCTCGCTAATGAAGCAGATGTTCATGGACACCTGCTGTACCAATGCGCCGTGTGTCCATTGCTGTCTGATGGCCTGCTTTTCTGTTTTCAAAATTGTTCATTTGGAATAACTTGTTCCTGTTGTGATTGCCCCCCCCTCCCCACCAGTCACCACGCTCAGGCCAGAGTGCATTATGGTACTGGGACACCTAAGAACTTTAAGGAAGATTCCACATCCTGATCAAAGCCCCCACAACCCCCCAAAACATTTTTAGCTTCACTTGGAACAGTCCTCATGGGGCACTTCAGGCTAAACTAAGGCATGTATATGCTGGTGATGTCACCATTAAGAAAGCGCTTTCTCTGAAACTCGCTGTATGCAGGTTCCTTTATGGGAATTTAAGTGATTATTGGGCCAGCAGTTGGTGGATTCTGATATTGCGGGACTGGAAAGCCGTTCAGTGCTGGAGCTCAAGGGGTCTGCGGGTGTGAACTCAGACCACCTGGTCTCCGGCAAAGCAAAGCCCCACTATCTGTGGCCTGGGTGCAGAGGAAGTGGACTGACCCCATTCTCTGCAGCAGCCTGCTAACTGGTTTGGGTGTTGAATCCTCCTCTGCACCACCAGATTCTGCACTGTCTTTCCCATTAAGCCTCCAAACTATTGAGTACAAATTGATATTGACAGAATTGATTCCCATTACAGCTTTTAGCCTTGTTTTTATTATTATTCTCCCTATAGATCAGTGATTCCCAGACAAGTCCCCGTTTTTACTTCCTCCCAGCTCTCTGGCAGACAATCCACATTTTTGCTCCCTACTGGGAGCATGGAGGGAGCAAATACATGGGCTTATCTATGAGTCAAAGAGGACTGGATTGGGAAACACTGCGATAATTGCACAAAAGCCAGTGGAAGTTGAGTATAAGAATGGACAGGCTCTCAAATGATTTCTTAGGCTGAGCTGTTGTACAGCACAGGGCAGTTATCTAAATCGGCTGGCACGTCGGCTGGTTTCTGACGTAACCTCCCACTCAGTATGCTACCGGAGCCAGCACTGCCTCTGTGCTGTGGTGAGTCACAGGAACCACCAGTACAAAGTGTGATGTGTGGGCAGTCAGTTACACCGGCCCCCGCCACGCCTACGTCACATGGCGCGGCAGGAAGGTAGGTGATTACCACAGGACTTCCACACAGTTTGGGTCTGAGGATGAGTGTATACCATTTATGTTGAATTGTGTGTGAATGTATAGAGAGCTTGAGAAAGGGTTAGGGTTAGGGGAACCATCACAACAGGGCTAGTATTGTGAGAAGGAAAGCAAAATGGCTCACGACTGACATGAACGATGTCATCATGATGTCATCCTGTTGCCTTCAGTCCCGCATCACTTGACCCTCTACAATCCACTTCTGTAACTCTGTCCCCATGTCACAACCAGCCAAGCTTTGTGCACAATGTCTGTTCTGGCACAACCTCCCATATCACCTGAACTTTCAGTTTCAAGATCGCACAGCAGCAGGGGTCTTTGTGTATCTTCTGCTTTCACTTTTCGGTCTGAAGTCCATTCTGGAGCATTTCAAGTAAATGGCTGATTGAGAAATAGCTCCCTGCGAAATCAACATATCCAACTGAGACCTCGTTTTTATAGCAGAGTGCAGTTTATTCTGGAAAATGGCCAGGTCTCATTTTTGACATGGTTCCATGTTATTTATGGATTATAAAAAGAATATCATGGAAAACAATTTCCTTTTGGAAGTGCTGAGTTAACCCCTTTCAGAAGCTGGCTGACTCTACGATCTGAATTCCTAAGCAATTCAAAACAAGCAAAAGCCACACATGCACTTCTTGAGTGGCTAATAATTCTCTACGAGTACAACTGTAATAAACGATGGAAAGCTATTATTCATTAGGTGTGTAAGCAGTAAACAGCAGATGTGTCCATTTGTCTTAGCGGTTGAGCCAACAACCATGCAGACACACAGGACATTTCCCTGGTGATGAACAGGAATGAATCTCAAATTCCACAAATTCCAAAGGGCTCAATGTAACACAGCACCAGTGGTTTGAGCGGGGTGAGGTGGGATTTCCTCCAATTGTACATAAGCCTTTCATGTGTGTTAAATTGGATGCTGGGGAGATATCTTCATACGTCTGACCACCATTTGGCCATCGCATGTCGAGATCTGTTGCTAGGCAGTTAGCTGTCCTATACCACTTCTGATCAAGATGAGACTGCAGGTGGTTTCACTCAGTGATTCTCAAATCAGTCCTCAGGGACCTGCAGACGGTCCACGTTTTTACTCCCTCAGGGAATTGGAAGAGAGCAAAAACACGGACCGTCTGGGGGTCGCCAAGGACTGGTTTGAGAAACGCTGGTTAAACTTATCCAGGCCCAAGAGTATGTTGCCATCATTTGATGAGGCTCCTTCACTAATGATGTATCCTGAGAATGCTTGAGGACTAAAGTGCAAAAAAAACAGGTTACCCACAGATGTCTGAGCAGCTAGGAGAACAATTTATCTGGGTTAGGAGGTTTTTTGTTTTGTTTTTTTCTTTTTTTTTGGGGGGGGGGGTAGCACTCATTTACAGTAATTCCTATTCTTTTGCTCCAAATAAGCAATGCAATCGGACTGTTGTGGCCGCTAGGTGACTCAAAAACTCAGAAGGTTATTTGGATCTTAATTTTAATTCCCGTGTTTTTTTTATCGTCACCCGTCACTAGTGACGTAAAACTGCAAGCAACGCTTCGGACTCCTTTCTTATTTATCTGGAGCTGTGCCGAGGTAGTGCTCTGTGAGTCACCAGAGCAGCGATGCCTGACTGAACGGCGATGAACGGAGACGAGGAGGCCCGTTGAGTATGGTGGGCAGCCACCGCGTGGAGGAAGCGCGGGGGATCACCTGGGAGACAGTCTGCGTCACGAACGGGCGAATACGGCGCTCCCGTAAAAGGCAGGGGGCCCGCGTCACGTGACCGGGCATCCGGCTGCAAGCTGTCATTTCATTTGCGATTATCTTTCTGCTGATTTATCTTTAATTTTACAAACTGTATAAGTGTTACGACCCATTCAATGGTTAATGAAATAATGCAAAATAATATCTTCGTGGGAAATGGAGGGGGTTTCCACATATGCGTCGTTTTCCTGTCAATACATCGCATTTCATGCCGTTTCAACATGTGAATACAGAAATGGCATTACGTAGAGAATCCGGTGTGAAAAATCTCGTAAAAACCACATTACGCTATACTTTCATACAGTAAGTCGTTGCGGCTCTTGATTTTATCGATACTACATGTATTCACATTTATTACATACTTTACTGTGGCTTATTAAAACAACGCCCACGATTGAACTAAATAAATTCAGCTCAACGAAAAATCAAGTGTCGTTGTATGCTGCATCTTTATGAAAATAAAATCCTGCTCCAACTTGCTAAATCAAATATATCTCCAGATTTCTTTTATTTAGAAATTCCCGAATCATGACCGGACACTCACTGTATAGTAGTAAGAGTCATCACATTTGTCTTATCACAATCTTAATTCGACCGACAGTAAACCGAACTTAATTATTTTTAAATTACGCCGAATCGCCCCACTTAATACGCCCCGAACCGAATAACAACGGCATATAGGTCTCTTCAATAATTTTTTAAGCATTCTGCTGATGTCTCTTTATATAACAGGAATAGACATCGTGATATAATTTAAGAAATTCCAGATTATGCTGCTCACACGAAATATAGTTCAATTAAAGTTCGGATTTTACTACATTACTATATTACTTGTGATCTTTTGAACGAATTCCAGCTCTGAATTCCAAAGGACATCACCATGAAGTTATTTTCAGCATTCCCAGAACAAAACAAAAAAAACGTCTCGTTTAGAACGGCTTGGGTTACGGAGACACCAGCTAACCGGAAGGCTGTGCACATTGTTAAGCAACTCGTGTTCATATGCCTGTTCATGAGATGGAATTTGTAGTTTTTATAAGAATATTTTTTGTGTCGCCCTTCAGTGTCGTGGGACCGCAACACTACACTTCCCGAAGTCCCACGCGCGGCCGTACGCGCTCTTCTCCGGACAGCTCAGCGTACTGTTTATTAGTTGCAATGAGCAGTGAAGTCGTGAAGGTGGTGGCAGAGTGTGTCCTCCGGAACAATTAAATAAGGGCTGTTTCTGTTTCGGCATTTCGTTCGGTCGATGCTGCAAGTTTCCACGCCGTCGGCCACGAAAGAAATAAAGGCGCTCGCCGTGTACCTGAACTCTTCGCGTTTACGCTTTTGAATATTGACCCGACGCGTCTCATCCGTGTTCATCACTCGGGATTCCTACGTCGTTTGTGGATTAAAAAAATCATCTTGAATGTGAGGGCGTCCCGAGCTTATGCGGCTGCCCGACTAAGCGACGCTTCTGTCGGCGAAGGTGGCCCGGCTGTCGAGCGCGTGCGGCACCGGCGCATCTATGCGGACGCCTCGCGTGTTTGCGGGATGAAGATGTCGCGCATAGTTTTAATAGCCGCTCGCAACAAACCCGGATAATCGGCGGACAAATAATCGAGAGAGAGGACGACAACCAGTCGCGCTTCTTTATTTTTTTTTATTTTCTTGTGGAGGGTGAGAAGAAAAGGAAGGGGGTAATTTGGAGGGCTTTTTGTGCTGTGCCTCTTACTGCGATCTTCAGCTGGATGTCCGCCTGCTTACGATGAACTGGCGGGGCGGCGAAGAGTAGAAAGGAAACTGTCGGCAGGAGACCAACTTCTCCACCGTGTCTTAGGCAGCCGTCCTCCTGCTTATGACCGCTTGTGTTTACTGGAGATAACGAATAGTATAGGCAGCCCGATCCGCGTAGACGACAGGCTTTGCTCGGATATTTGTATTTTGACGTCAGGTTCTCCGAAGGGAAGAGACCAGGTAAGGGTAATTTAACCAAGGATCCCTACCACTCTAGGGGTTTGTTTTGATCGATCGATTATCCTTTTAAAGACGTTTCCGATATCCTTTATACTGCTCTGAACACAAGACATTGATGACTCTTGAGTACCAGTCAATAAGTCTTGAAAAGAATACTCCCTGTTATGTAATGGGGAGTATTTCAGGCAATAGACTATGTGTACGTGGATAGACTTGTTTTTTATATTAGGGGTGAGCTTGAGATACTGGGGCTTTCTTGCAACAAGCAGGAAATCCATCACACTGTCTAGATTCGGTTTCACTGGAATTGCAGTGGACACTATGGTGAGCTTGGACATTACACAAAGTGACTTCATCATTCCCATCTGCTCTGGTTCTCTCGCAGAGACTTCTTCGGATTTCTTTTGACCGTTGTTGGGGTGCCACTGTTGATTCATGCATCTCGGGGTGTCCGATCCCATGAGAGAGTGCGAGTACAGTCAGATAAGCACTCGCAGCTCGACGCCAATGGAGTCTCCCCACAAGAAGAGGATCCCAAGGAGGAAGTGGCAAGTCTTCCCAGGCCGGAATAAATTTTACTGCAATGGAAGGATTATGATGGCTAGGCAGACCGGTGTCTTCTACCTCACCCTGGTCCTCATTGTGGTCACCAGTGGGCTCTTCTTCGCTTTTGAGTAAGTCAAATATGTATGTGTATTTGTGTCTATTTTTTTTTTGCGTTTCTATGAGAATGACGTTATTTCGCTGGTTTGTTGACGTTAGGTAAACATAACCCCAGCAACAAGTCCATTGGAAATCTGCTAAGCCACTAAAAAGTGTTTTAGATGCAGTCGTCATTGAGTTTTTCATAATGGAACGATGTATCAACATTCACAGTGGATAAAGACAACCACATAGGTGAGGTGTACCAGTAAGGTGACCATCCAGATGAAGGGAATCACTGACTTCCAAAGACGTGTATAAACCACCTTTTGATACTTTTGCAACTGTAGTTTCCAGCCTCCTGTTACATTTATCTGCTCTGGGTGTCTCTTTTCGTTTGTCTCAACACATCCAACCATCTGCGTTTGTTTAGTGAAGATGATTTCCTTGGGAGAGGGTGATTCCGCCTTTCCCTTTGTGGGGGGGGGGGATTATCTGTGAAGCTGGAGCATATAGGGGAGAAAAGGTGGGCTGCCACGGTAACTGGGAAGCGGCCAAAAGCCAACTGCCCCCTCTTCCTCTGCTGCTAAATCCTGCCCGCCACGTCCTGCCAGGGCCAGGCTGAGTGCAGCCCGCCATGTGGTTCACATTGACGAGCTCCTCTTCCCCTGCTAGCTTTTTTCCATTCATTATCATTTTAACCCGGCGTGATGCAGACTTTGGCCTTGGGCCTGTAAGCCGGGCTCTGTCTGCTTCAGCTAGCAACGAGAGCCTGAAGCAAGCACTTCCATAAGGCCAAAACCTACATCGATTGGACGCTCCAGGCTTAAAAAAACGAAGGAATTTTCTAGTACTCAATATTTTGTCACTTATCTTGTGTTATTGACCATCGGCACTTTTTTTTTCCCTGTTTGGTTATATCTTTTTTTCGGTTTATGTTGATTTTATTTAAGGAGCACGTTGGATATTTCGCTCTGACTGTAGAACCTACAGATGGCTGTTCTCGGAACACGCTGTGTAGACACCGTTAGTCAGCCTCTTCACACTCTGCGTTCGTACAGTATGTCACTGGCCCTGTGGCACTCTGCACACGAGACCTACTTATCTTTAAAGTGCTGCAGAAAAAGACCACGTTTGCAGTACTTTTTTAGCAGCCCGGTCTTTCTCTGAAGCCCCCCCGAGCGAATGAGACACTCTGCATGGCCTTACCATGAGCCTGCCCCCTCACTTACACATGTGTGTTTCTCCTGTGTGAAACTGGGGTCCTTATGAATAATATAGAAGTATAAGTATTTTGGAATCGTGTGTGAAACGAAGCACTTAATGTCTTCCAGTGCTTTTGAAGCACAGGATGACACCCGTAAGCAGTCATCCCTGCTTTGGGCTTTAAGCAGACTACTCCATTAGTGGTAAACATTTTAAAGTGATACTTGGCACCCCAATACAGATGGTGTAGACCAGCTGATCCCTTTGCCAGTTCCTCAGTGTGGAATGATGCCTCTCATCCCTGCACTAAAGAAAACAGGGATGTCTGTGTTAAACTCAGTGTAGATCTGTGCGGCTTTCGTGTGGTTTTTAAGGGGCTCCTACAGAGGTCCAGATTCCATAACCAGCTGGTGTCTGCCAACACGCCTGTGATTCCTAGGCACGGCCTCTGTCTGAAATTTACCTGACAAAGGAAGTGAATTCGGATCCCGTTTCTGTGCTCTTATGCTTAGCGGGTTATGTTGCTGTATTTGGGTGTCTGTGATCATCTATTTCCCGCCTTGCTGCACATAAGTTATAGTATTTAGCCCTTAGATGCTGACAGGATAGAGACCTTCTGAGCCGTTAGCCTCTTTGTCTTCTGTTTTTTTTTTTTCTCCCTCTATTCTCCTGTTCACCATGCTGTGAAATTATCCCTTTATCCTGCCAGATGCCTCCATACGCCTTCCCCCCAATGGTGGTCTAGACCCCGAGTCCGCTTAGTGGGTCGGTTGCGTTCTTGCCTTGTCAAGGCGTCTGGTTGAATACCCACTCGCACGTAGTTTAATGAGATCCGCTGATGAAATGCAGCCCATTGTTATCCGTCCCCCTCAGCAGGAGCGCCTCGCATAATTCGGCCCGAACTCTTTCAACCCGAAGCCTTTGTTAGCGGAAATGACCCAAAACCCCCCGACTGACAGGGCCCTGTAATTACTCTCGTGAAAATGTGAAAAGTCACGTTTGCAAACACCGCCGCCTCCTGAATTGCGCCGCTGAAGTCTGACATTTGCACAGTGTAACTGATCATTTTAATTATCTTTATCCATTAACAGCGGCGGCAAATTGCAAACTTCCGTCAGCACTGGGCGCAGCGCTCGGTCAGTGTTGACTGTTGGTCACCTTCCCTTCCAGTGATGTATTGTGTCATTCTGTAATTATGGTCTCTGCTCCCAGCCCGTCTGTGACTTGTGCCAGAGTAAACCGACCATGCTGTCATTTGGCGTGTTGACCGACAGCATTAAGCTCACTGTCCTCGCGCCACGCTGAACTTTGCAGACTCCATGCGTTGACTCTTGGTATGGGTAACATGGGGGGGGGGGGGGGTAGGCACGTACCCAGGCCATAGCAGCTGCACTGTTTGCCAACTCAACCACAGCTACCTCGTGATCCTCTGGAAGCCGTGCTGTCTGCCCCCAGGTGCCCCCCCCCCACATGCTAATAGGTCTCGTCCGGTGTGGTTGGTTCCTGCCGACTGCCCACTTGCACATTCACTCTGCACATTTTCAGACTTTCTTGCAGTTCTGTATTTTCAAACTGGTTTCAAGTTCTAGACCAGCTCATGGATTTAAGGGAAGCGGACGCCCAGGCAGACTCTTGACTTGTGTGTGTGCACTCGAGCTCCTTTGCTCTTCTGTTTTGTTGGGCTGTTGGTGTGTTTTTAATATCTTCCTCCAATGCATCTGAAGAATGGATTCTACTCAAAACCCACTATCCTGAACTTAAAGCAATAGCCCAGTACAGATGGTGTGGACCAGCTCATCCTTTGCCAGTTCCTCAGTGTGGAATGGGGCACGTAAGAAAACAGGGACGTCTGTGTTAAATTCAGTGCAGATCCGTGCAACTTTCATGTGATTTGATTAATGTGATGTCATCCTTCGCAGTAAGAAACTCCTCCCAGTCACAGCAATACAATTAAGGCACTGGCCTTTTTTGACACTGGAAATGAATATCACTCTCACACCTGTGCTATATGTATAGAGAGTGCTCTTAGGTTGGGTTGTTGTGTATTGATACCATTCTCATAGTTTATTATTTCCCTTTTGTTGCTTTTCCAGGCAATAATGCAGTAAACAATGTCTTAGTGAAATTTCCTAATGTTTCCTAAAGAGTTTCTGGCAGGTATTTATAGAGCGTTTAAGTCTGGGTATATGGCGGGTATTGGCAGGTCTCTCCATTTAGTGTTTACTGAAAACTAATCTTGAACCCAAGTAACCCACTCCCACCACAAAGAGATTCCTTCTCGCCTTGCTCAGAGATGCGTATCTCTGTCTTAGCACTGCCTTCGCCGTCATTCCCGAGTCGGAGGGGCGGGGGGGCTCACTTCTGCTTCCCCTCCAGGCTTCCCCTGGCCCCTCTTGCGCCGTGACGAGTCCGTGCTGACTTGCGGCAAGCAGAACAGCAGCATGGCGGTGCTGCCTCTGTAGGGAGGTGGCTGCCGTGAATAGCACCTCACAATGGATAATGTTGGTACCTGCGCTGCTTGCTAAGTGTCCCTTCCACTGGAGACAAAGATGAAAGGAGCGTGACAGAGATGGTGAAGAATCTGTCGGAACCTGTATGCCATCATGGCGTGTGCTGGAAGGGACCAAAGACATTCTTCCCTTTCTTTCGCTGTCAGTGATGTGACAGCTAACGATTTTGTACAGAATATTTATGTCTCTGTTGCATAAGGCCCTTCTGCGTTTCCTCTAGCATAAAGTTTAATCCGTTGTAATGAGAACCATTTGTCATTGTAAAGTTTTATCCGTTTCTCAAATGGTTACCTGGCTTATCGCGGCAGGTCGTTGATGTGTGTGTTTATAAGGGCCTTCGGAATTTATATGAGCATGTTGCTGGCTGATGTAACCTTTTATTGTGCCTGGTAGCGGTTTTGCGTACGAAGACCCTGGCCTTCTGAGAGCCTCACTGAGGTGTTGACTCGGTCCCGAGGACACTGGGTGGAATTAAGGGTTGGTAAAGTATCTGATAAACCATTTACTGGCACGTTTCTGTTCTTTCCGCCTGGTTTGTACCAGTGTTGCCGAGACTGCCATCCCAAATCAGCCCTACATATCGTCTCTCTGTTAATCCTCCACATGCCACATCAAGTAGCTTTCAGTCAACTGTCTTTAATAGCCAATTTGAGGGTTTTCTCCTACAACCCACTCCCCCCCACTGTTGGGCACCCTCATCCTGATTAAGATGGCGGTTTGGGAATCGAGTGAATCCTGCTATAAATCTGGTTTCTTTATTTTTCTTTATAAAAATGACTGTCTGTTTACAGATACACTCACTTCACGATTACTCTGAACTCTATTATTAAAAAGCATTGATTTTAAAATTTTTCTTCTCGAATTACTCCCCAATATGATGGAAGGAAGATGACGCATAGATGACGAGGATCCAGATAAAGAGCGAAAGCATCATTTGTGTAGAAGCATTTCATGGTAAAAGTGAATGAAAACGTAGTCATCTGCCAGTATTGCAAAGCAAAACTTAAATATCATCACGGTGCGACTGCAATGCAAATATATCTTAAAGGAAGACATCCTGGTTTGACGGACTCGCCCAGTAATGGGAGGTTAGACACAGAAATGTCCCATCTAGCCTTTCTGTGTAGCCTAGCCTGACTTTGCCATCTCTTTGACTTAAATCATTTCGTTTAATGTACTATCTACGATTCCTGTATGTCAGAACCATTGCCGCTTAAATTAAGTTTAGCCCCACTGCTTAGCCGCATGATTTTACATAGTACAATACATATAACCAATTAGAATTGAATGTATTATGTGTTAGGGCTGGATGATAC